TGTTGTTGCTGGTTGTTGTTGTTGTTGTTGTTGTTGCTGCTGCTGCTGCTGCTGCTGATGCTGTTGTTGCTGGTTGTTGTTGTTGTTGTTGTTGTTGTTGTTGTTGTTGTTGTTGTTGGTGGTGGTGGTCTTCGTCGTGGTTGTGGGGTTTTGGTGTTGGTATCGGTGTCGGTGTTGGTATTGGCGTTGTTGTTGGTGGTGGTGGTGGTGGTGGTGGTGGTGGTGGTGGTAGTGGTGGTTTGGCGGTGTGGTGATGGTTTTGATGGTGTAGCAGGCCTTCTTGGAGCAGCCTCGCCAACTAAGCATCAGCTTCGTGCTACCATGAGATGTAGAGTGAGACTACCTTGAAGAATCGTGCGTCAGTGTTCTCCTAGTAGAACTCTTTAAAACGATGGCGGATGACTTGCTAAGTAGCATCAGAATACTACATATGCTCTTCTGTGTACATAGGTATGTGTATGTGTATATACATGCATTTATGTGTATATATATATATATATGTACATTTATGCATAATACACTCCCCGCCACGAAGCTCTAACACAGAGCTACTACATTGACATGATGTACCTAACATGCCCCCCAAAAAGGATTCAAAACAGCGCCATGAAGACACCCTAACCCCCCAGGTACCTACTATATAGGGTACTAGAGCCCCTAGGGCCCTATATAGTAGGTACCTGGGGGGTTAGGGACAGACACCGAAGAGTCTCGGGAGGCCTCTGCGCTGCTTACCCAAGCCGGTCTCGTCGACGAGACCACCAGGACGCCGCACAAATAATCTTATTGGCAGCTTTGCCTCTGTAGCTCTAGCTCTTCATAGATATAGCGGTATTAAGCATGAAACAAGTCTAATTCTCTGCATACTAACAATTGCCATAAGACGGGTATAATGATAGTAGTAATAGCAACAGTAGAACCCATGAGTGGTAATGAAAATGAGACAAGCTTTATGCGTTTGTGTGTGTAGCCCTAGCTCTCTCTGGATCTTAAGGCCTTAATGGCTACGGACTAGGTTCCTTTAGCATGCGCTCTGTAAGGGGTGCTGCAAGGATTACCATCAGGGCTTCGTGTGCAGTGAGTCAGTCAGTGGTGCAGGCTTTAGTTCGGCTCTGGGGTAGCACTTGCGGGTTAAGGGGCGTGGGGTTTAGGGCTTATGACGGGTATAGGATCTTGAGTGGTACTACAGCGCACTCCCAGAATCCAATGTAGTCGTTGCCGGAGGATGGCATTCGAAGTTTGGATAAATTTGATCTCTTACACAACCGCAAGCGGCAAGGATACCGATAATACTACGCTAAACCCCAAACCGCCTTGTGCCCGTATATATATATATATATATACACATATTTATAGGTATGTATATATATATATATATCTGTGTGCATAATTGTCTGTGTCTATATATATATATATATGTATACATATATCCGCCCTGTGCGCAGGGTGTCGGACATAGACCGGTGCTTCATTGCAGCCAAGGCCACTCTGTCTGCGTCGTCGAAATGTGGAAATGGTGGGGTTATAAGTGGGGTTTAGGGTGTAGGGTTTGGGGTTTTGGGGTTTAGGGTTTAGGGTTTGGGGTTTAGGCTTTAGGGTTTGGGGTTTAGGGGTTTAGGGTTTAGGGTTTGGGGTTTGCGGTTTAGGGTTTGGGGTTATATGTCGCCTAATATAGGCTCTATAGCTATAACTATAGTTGTCCTACTTATAAACCCTTAGAAGTCGGGTTATGAGACCCCTAATATAGGCTCTAGCTATAACTTTAGTTATCCCATTTTTAAGCCTTACTTCTAACCACCACCAACCTCCAAGTCATCGAAATTTGGAAATGGGGAATCACGATCTGCGACAAGACGCACGAGAAGCCCTCAGCACTCAACCTTGAGTAGTCCTACTTAAAGGATCATGGGACTTAGTAAGTAAGGTCATAACACGCTTCGGGAAACACAAGCGGCCAGAAGAAGCCAGCAAGCAAGACAAGGCGTCTCACACATGAGCGGTCGAGTCCTAGATGCAGAACGAGAGAGGGCTCCTGCGAATGCAGGGCAGATTCTAGATGCTGGAGACCATGTGACCTTCGAGCTTTGCTGTTGCCGATTCGGCCACCGCTACCATTGTTCGTGCTTCCGTGCCATGTCTCTTGAGCGCCCACAGCGCCTCAAAACCCTGGACCAGGTCCACCAACCTCGGCAGGTAATCGCGAAGGATATCCACAACCGCCCACCCCTACTGCAGGACGGAAAACCAGGAGAGAAACGAGAAGAACAAGACGAGGGTGCAAGCTCCATCATGCCGTAACGTATAGGAACCGCCAACAGATGAACGACTGGCCAGTGCCCTGTTTGTTTGTCCCAGTCCCGCGTTCGGTGGCAGGTGTTGCCAGTGGACATGCGCAAGGCAGGTGTGCGGCTTGCAAATGACAAGGCAGGGTGCAGACAAAGTCAGCCCAGCCATCCATGGAGTATCAATGACTGACGAGATACAGGGTTGGATTCCGCACGCAAAATTTCGAGGGTCCCAAAAGTGGAGGCGGAGTTTGAGAAGTCGGGGCCGTGCATTACTGTATTCCGAGGCACTCCAGGGATTTGGCAGCCTCTTTCAAAGGGGAGTTTGACGATTCGGTGTCGGAGACGATAGGGGCTAAGCACAACTTGCGAAGTGCTAACTTCTCTATACCCATAGGCCCTAAAGCGGTTCCTTTTTGGAGTTCATATATAGAATCCTATAAGGTAACCCCAAAAAGGAACTACTTTGGGGCCTATGGGTAAGACAGTGGTGGGCTTCAACAACGTGGCACCTTTTGCCATGCTCCACCGAATAGAGGGGCCTCAATAATTACCTATATTGTTTTAGGGGTTCCTTGTTAATATAGTAAAATGGGGCCCAAAACCCTATTCTAACTATTGTTTCAGGGGTTCCTTATTATCCTTACAGTATAACGGGGCCCAACTACCCTATTCTAATTATTGAGGCCCCTACTATAGAACCTTGTTATAGATCCCTTCCAGAACCCTTCAAGGACCCCTTTGAAGGAACCCTATTCTAATTATTCAGGCCCCTACATTAAACCTCTGGCCTCCGGTCGTGTATCACCTTTCATTGGCCGCAGGTACTCAATCGCCATCAATTTCTGGAGTTACTTCTGAGAGTGGCCGATCAGCGCTACGTGCAGACAGGCATAGTACTCCCTTCCCTCAAGTCTGAAGTTCCATACAGAGGTATGCGTGCATGTACGCAGACCTGCATGCATCCGTATCCGTGTATGCAAGTAAGTAAGAAGTGAGCAAGTGAGAAGATAAGGTAGTATGTATGCATGCATAGACGTATGAATGAGTGTATACATTGTTTTTCGGTCGGATAAATAGGTCGATCGATAGATGTGTCCGCGGTTCTGCATGTCGACCTGCAGCATTGGTTAAATCCTGTAGGACTGTAGGAGTTCTATTCCAGGGGACTGATGAAAACGGAGTACTCTCTACAAAGAGACTTGTACACTGTACCTGTTGGAGCTTCCGTCTTTGATCAAGGCTTGAAGGCGTGGTTGACATGGAGGGTTTAGGGTTTAGGGTTTAGGGTTTAGGGTTTAGGGGACTGCAGCATCGCTGGCATAGAATAGGCCTTAAACTTGGAGCTATTGCATCGCCGCTCTGCTAAATCCCTCTAAGCACTCAAGCCCAAGCCCGGTTCAGGCCGTGTGAAGAGCGTCTCGGAGGCCCTGTCACAGGTTTTGGAGCCGTTGCTCCCTGCCGTGGCCCTAGACCCTAGTCTTGCAAACTGGGAGTGCAACGAAATGCGAGAGAAAAGACGCATCTGGGCGGTGTCGGGGCGGTGTCGGCCCGAATTAGGGTTTCTGTGATTTCCGAGAGAAAACAGGGCAGAAAGTTCCCGTAGCGCCTACTTAGGAGTGCAGCTCTGTTGAAGCATTGAGGTCGGACAGGCCAGGGTGGCCGAAGTGGATGCCATCCTTGACGCTCTTCACACCGAGGAGGCGATTCATTCTGGCCTGGAGAAGACGCGGGAAGGAATGATGGAATACGACCAGCATTGGCCAGCCTAGGCTGCTCTGTTTTGTTGCGGACATTAAATAGATTGTAGAGTCATAGAGATACTATTTTCGGATAAAGATTGCGGAGCTGGCTTGTATTTAGCCCAGTCCTGCTTTTGCCATAATGCATGTGAGCCGTGTGGAGCAGTGTTGGTTGACTTTGACTACTGCCGCAGTGCCTGAAATCGTCCTGTTGCCCGTCGTTTTGTCGACCATTGGCTTGCATTGACAGCTGCTCATGTACGCAATGTGTCACAGTCCCATCCGAGCCGCACGAAAAGCGACGTCGACTTCCCCTGACCTGCGAGGTAGATGATGTGATGAAGAAGTACCACGCCACGCTGCAGGACCTCCGGACACCTCACAAGCAGTGAGAAATCCGTAGAGATCTTCTGAAAGGCCCGTCTTTGAGCAATCTTTCCATTCAAGCCCCTGTCTAAGGCATCTCACGGGGATCCCATGGACCCAACCCGGATCTGGCAAATCTGAAAGCATGCCAACATGGGAGTTTCCGAAAATAAGGGGTACCCTTATTATTTGGGGTCCTTATAATATGGATCCTACTATGTAGGGTACTATATTAGGGTCCCCTATTTTCGGAAACCCCCATATGTAGACATGTCAGTTTAGGTGTTCCTGGATCACTAAACCCTAAACCCTAAACCCTAAACCCTAAACCCTAAACCCTAGACCCCTAAACCCTAGATCACCTCCAGGAGGTTTATCGTCGATTCAGTGGCCGCGTCACGCCCCCCGGCGTCGCACCGCGGCCGTATGCTCCGACTTAGATCTCGGGAGTTGCCAGCCCCTTTAAAGGAACCGTTTAGGGTTTAGGGTTTAGGGTTTAGGGTTTAAGGTTTAGGGTTTAGGGTTTAGGGTTTAAAACCCTATATAATTATTATCATAAGGCACCCATATTCTCCAGGTGTTCGGGAGTTTCGTTCAGAGAGCATCCCAGTCCTTCTGGGAAAGGACTGACAACTTCAGTGACTAGAGTCTCTAGAGGTGTTGTGCCCGCCTTCGCATGTGTTTCGGATCCATAAAAAAACAAAATAAAAATAATAATAATAATAATAATAGTAACAACAATAACAATAACAATAACAATAATAATAATAATAATATTAATATTAATATTAATATTAATAATAACGATAACAATAATAACAATATCTATAATAATCGTCCAACCTACAGGCAAAGTCCCGAAGCGGAGTCGCCTTCAGCAGGAAATCCTTAAAAGTCCGTCGACAGCCTTCGTCTATCCGCGGCAAATGCTGGCTGCTGGCAGTGACGAACTGAACCGCACCGAGGAAGACGGCCAGTAATGTAGGGGCCTGAAGCATTAGAATAGGATTTTGGGTTATGTTATATTATCTTGCAATTATATTATAATTATAGTCATAACAAGGAACCCCCAAAATAAAATCTAGGTAATCATTAAGACCCCTCTAGTAGCCCCGAGTCGAAGAGGAGGTTCAGAGCCGATCCTTCAAACTCACGATCTTCTGCCTCAAAAGCCGTCGCGTCTCAATCCCTAAACCCTAAACCCGAAGCCGGAAACCCTAAACCCTAAACCCTAAATCCCTAAACCCTAAACCTTAAATCCTAAACTGGAAACCCTAAACCCTAAATCCCTAAACCCTAAATCCCCTAAACCCTAAACCGGAAACCCTAAACCCTAAACCCTAAACCGTGGCTCCAGGCAAAGTTCATGTCCTTCGGTGAGTTCCAGGAGCTCTCTCTTGGTAGCCAGGGAGGCTCCCCAGGTCACTTAAGGGTTCCTAGGCAATATAGGGGCCTTAATTGATAATTAGAATAGGATTTGGGGTCATTTTGTACTATAGTTATAATAAGCAACCTCCAAAACCCCATTCTGGTTACATTAGTTTGGGTAGTCGTAACTAGGGCTTATAGGATAGCTATAGTTATAGCCTATGTGACTTCTGACTTATTAATTCGACTTATAACGACAACCTTAAACCCTAAACCCTATAAGCCCTAAACCCATAACCCCTCAGCCCCTAAACCCTATAAGCCCTAAACCCACACCCTAAACCCCTAAACCCTAAACCCCTACACCCCTAAACCCTCAACCCCTAACCCCCTAAACCCTAAACCCCTAAACCCTGAACCCTAAACCATCCTAAACCCCTACACCCCCAAACCCTAAAACCCTATAACCCTGTAAAACCCCCTACAAACCCTATAACCCCTATCAAAAACACCCTTAAGCCCGAGATTCGGAGCTTCGGAGCCCTCCAGGATCTCTTGGAGTCCTCGCACTCGCTGACGGCAGAGTTTACGCAGAGGACGGGGCGAAGCAGATTATGCCATTGTGTCATATCTAAGGTTAGAAGTATGGGCCCCTAATGCGGACCCTCAGGCCTTTCTAGGGACCCTTAATGGTACCCTATATGTAGTAGGTGTATACGGATCCCAGGGTTAAGGGCCCATACTAGGGGCCCATGGGTTCAGCTTTAGATCATATGGGTAGTTGTCTAAACTAGGGTCCCTTTTTGGGGGTCCTTTTTATAAGGGTGCCGTACTATTTTGGGGGACCTAAACAGGGACCCTAATTTAGGGAACTACCCATATTATGCAGCAATGTCGTATTCTTATATTATATCATATCATCAAACCAGCTAAGAGCCCAACATAGAGGCCAAATGCGCATAGTACGACTGCTAATATAAATCCTGCATTATCTTAAGGACCCTACACGATGGGAATGATGGTATATTCCTGATTTTGGGCAATGCAGGATGTATCTCATCAACCGTATCATGCTAGAATATAGTAGTCTTCTAGTTTATCATACTATATTACAGCAGTCTTACATCAAAGCTTAGTATAATGGAAGATTCAGAGGGGGCCTAAACCCTAAACCCTAAACCCTAAACCCTTTATGGGGCTTTGTGAGGGCTCTGGGGTGTTACAAGGGAACGGACACAGCTTACAGGTTTCTGCTCAAGGGTTTTTCAACCCTGAAGGAGGTTGAAGAGTAATGTATTTAGGGTTTAGGGTTTAGGGTTTAGGGTTTAGGGTTTAGGGGCCTTCATAATTAGAATAGCTTGGGTACTGCCCTGTTGAGGCCCCTGCATTAATGTCCCCTCATACTCCGGCGCTCCACTTCAGGAGAATCGGCTTCGCCTTTCGCCTAGCAATGATGACTCAGCCTGAAGAAATGCTGAAAACCCGCTTCCAGGCGGGTTTTCTCAGGGCTTCAGGGTTTCAGTTGAGGGTTTAGGGGTTTCGGGCTCAGGGTTTCTGGTTTATTAGGGTTCAGGGATACGTGAAGAGGGATGCAGCGCCCGAATCAGAAGCTTTGAGCATCGTCTGCTGACAGAGATACTCGGGGAATGGCATGGAGACGGCGCAAAACAGCAGCGAATTCACCAACTTCCCTTCAGCGGTCATGGGATCACACACCAGGGGTGAGATCACGCCGATGGGGAAGTCATCATATCTCAGTTGGGGATGGCATAAGTATCCTCTAATGAATGAGGGACCCCAAGTTCAAAAACATTTGCATAAATAAAGCAGCTCCGGTGTTTGGGTGAGATACCACATGCTTCGAAAGGCAGAGCTCTGACAACATAGATGCCAGACATACGAAAGACTGATACGCCTAACCTGTGATCATGAGATCCTGGCTCACTACCACAATACATTTGGGAGGCACTGTTCGCAGGGCGTGGAGGATCCGGGAGCTATGTTATGATTTCTGTATGTGCGTAGTTCTCTAAATTAGGGTCCCCTTTTAGGTCCCCCAAATGTAGTACGGCACCCTTATAAAGCGGACCCGAACAGGGACCCTGATTTAGAGAACTACCCTAATTTAGAGAGCTACCCCTGTAAGCTTGTTTACGACCTGCTTACTATGTCAAAACCGCTCCTCTGGCTCGCCGTTTCCTTCATCCCCGTTTCACATCCTCACCAGCCCCCAAACATTCTTGCCCGTTCATAATATAGGGGCTTCAATAGTTACCTAAATTATTTTGGGGTTCCTTATTATTATCATAAAGGACCCCAAAACCCGATTGTAATCATTTAGGCTCCTATATTTCTGTCCGAGCCGTGTTGCACTTGCCGTTCAGGAGATGAACTTCGTGGAGTTCCAGCATGCGGCCGCTGTCTCAGACAGTCGAGCTTGCTGGGAATCCGAGTACGTGAGATGTGAAAGCTGGAAGTGCGGATGCCTCTTCCTTTGGCTCTGGAAGCTACAGGGCTGTGAGTCGCTGCCTGCGCTTACTATAGGGGCCTTAATAATTACCTATGCTATTTTGGGGGCTCCTTGTTATAATTGTAGTATAATATACCCCCAAATCCTATTCTAATTGTTAAGGCACCTACTATAGAACCCTATTATACATCCCTTATAGAACCCTTCAAGGATCCCTTTAAAGGAACCATAATCTAATTATTAAAATAGAACCTTTTAAGGAACCCTTCAAACGAGCCCCCAAAGCCCTATTTCCCCAACAGCGGATACGC